TATATAAAAATAAATAATAGTAGAAAATACATATAAAAATATGAATTATATACAAAATTGCCGCCTTAAGTCACGCCTTACAAACGACGTGGCTCGCCAAGCCTCGGAAAAGCTTGAGGCTTGGCATTGCCGCCAAGTCACACCTTACGTTATTTAGAACCTTGACATTACCTTACATAAAACTATATAAGGTCAAATAAATAATTTCTAAATTAATTATACATAATTTTAAAAATAACACTAAATTGAGAATCGTATTAACTTTTAAGGAAAACAACATAAAAAACCCAATATATTTTTCTTTAATTCTTAAAAATACAACTATATTATTTTTAGTGCACTGAAACTCTTATATTTTCTGAAAGTTTTATTTAAGTTTTTTTGACCTTAGAAAAACTCAATTTATTTTTATATAAGCATTAAAAAAACCACTATATTATTTTTTTAGTGCATCAAAGCCCTTTTATTTATTGAAAATTTTTAATCTAATAGATTATAACCATTAAACTGTTGAGAATCGATTAACTACCATTTTTTGCTATCTACGGTTTACCAAACTTAAAGCCTTAAATTAGATATTTTAAAAAAATATAAAGGTTTTAACGTACAATATATATATATATATATATATATATATATATATATATATATATATATAGGTTTATTTAAGGATTTTATGAAAATATCTTGAGTTTTTCTAAAGTTTTCCCTTACTTTGATTTACAATAGTCGTGGGTAGCGTCCATTAAATTATATGATTTTAATAGATATTATCATATGGTTCAAAATCATTAGAGTTTTATATTAAAAAAAAATTAGTGTAAAAAGTTATTATTTCATAGTCAATATTGTTAACTATTTTCAATCGTATACTTTGTCTAATTTTAACTATAAAGTTTTATTCTGCGCATTAGGGTATGAATTCGATGAAGAATCTAATTTCACAGAGGACCGCAAGGAAAATTTTTATTAAAGGCGAATTTGTCAAACTAATTAAACACAATTGGGTCATATGTTTCACCGGCAAAACTGGCCAGTTTTCCATTTCGGGCCAAATAATGTGCGCCACCAAAGCTGGGCTACTTCCACATTTTTTGGATTGAATTCTGTTGCGTCCATTATATATCCTTGTACAAATACATAATTAAATTGTGAGCGCCTTTATGCACTTGCAAACGTAAAATCAAATTGAACAAGTTAGTTTGTGTTTTTTTTTTTTTTTTTTTTAATGGACTCTAACATTTGACGCAATCCACCTTTTTTTTATAATATTATCATAATTAGGTTATAACCCGTGGAAACCACGATTGTTATTTTTATAAGTAATTATATAGACAAAAAATAAAATAAATTATCAACAAAAAAAGTAACATAACTTTGATTGTAAGAAACATTAAATAATATGAAAGTCAAATATACATAATAGTTTAACATAAATTATGAAATACTTCTTTGTAAACTATATTGGAAGTTTTCTAAATCAACAACTTCAATTCTTCTTTGTTTTTTATTCTGGATAAAGCAACGTATAATTGGTCGTATGTGAATACTTGTTTTTGCAAAAACAAACCAACCTTTGAACACTAGAATATGGTAGAAACTTTTTTGGATTTTTTATTACCCAAATATATTTTTCTAATCTTTCTTCTCTATCTATGTTAGTATAGTTATAAGTAACCGTAATTATATAAAACGATAATAATATAGAGAGTTAAATGTTATAAGTAACCGTAATTATAAATTAAAATAACCAATATAATTTTTTTTAATTTATTTAAGTCATAAAAAAAACAAATTAAAAGTATCACCGTTAACATTCATGTTTGAAACATGTGTATTATGTGAAATTCGAGATATCGATGTAGAAATATTTTTGAATTATCTTTTATCGAGATATAATTTTCTAATTTTTCCCATCTTTTTACTATCCATGACGTTTTATAAATTTGCAAAACAATAGTATTTAACTAAAAAGATTAAAATATGAATATGTTGTGTTATGAAGATTTATATCATAATGAATCATTTTTATTATCATTGTAATATAAATATAATATCATTGTAATTAAATTTTGTTAATTTATATAAATTTGGTCATTGTTTGCATAATCATGTTTAAAAGTATTTATATATCTTTTTTAGACGTTATGCGTAATGTTTTTGTAATTGGTTCGCATTTTAATTTCTTTAAGCTCTGTCATTAAAAAGATACTTGTAATTGGTTCGCATTTTAATTTCTTTAAGCTCTGTCATTAAAAAGATACTTGTATGACCGATTTTATAGACCATGTAAATTCTTATATTTATTTGTTTAAGAAATTAATTATATAATATGACATTTAAAAATAAATATAAACAGACCATATAAGTTACCCCACCAATGCACCGATAACTATCAATTAATTTACTATTAATTATAAGTAGTTACCTATTTAAAAATTTCTTTGTTTTTGCCTATATAACATGTGAGTGATAAATCATACTAATTTTTTAAATAAATATTTAGAATGTTTTTTTTGTTAAATAAATATTAAAAGCTTATATTTGGTTCAAACTAAATGAATATCATCTTACATAATCACGTAAAGTAAATATAATAGTATATTTATAAAAATCGACCTAATTAAAGTTGTTAAATAAAAATTAAAAACATAATTATGGTTGAAATTAGAATAATTTAGTAATTAGCGTATAAATGAAAAAAGAATTGTTAAGGTGACTTTGTTTAAAAAGCAACTACAGGCATAACTTAAATATTCAATAAAATAGAGGGACTAAGAAAAAATAATACTAAAACTACAGGGAGTAAATTGTATGTTAGATGTAGGAGTGATTGAAAGCGTGTTATTGAAAAACATAAGCATTCGGGTTTCATTTTTATATAGAAGAATCATACCGGCGAGGAGATCGAACTCCTCAAAGGGTTACGAATAAAAATGGCGTGTCGGTGTCGTTTGTAGAGGGTGTTTGGGAATACTTTTTAAATAACTTTTGCATTTTAATTTTTTTTAAAAGTTAAAAAGATGTTTGGAAGATGCAAAAGTTCTTTTCAAAATAACTTTTTGTAAAGAAGAAAAGAATGAGTTTTCAAAAGTTAAGAAAGTGTAGCTTTTTGTAACTTTTGAACCTTTAAAGCTAAATCACACTCAAAAGTCAAAAATTACTACCCAAACACTTTTTAAAAACAACTTTTGTCTTGTTGTTTCCTCAAGAGCTAAACACAAAAAGAACTTTTACAAAAAGATCTTTTAGGCTTAAAAAGTAGACAAAATTGCAAAAATGGTCCCTGTAGTATGCATTTTTTTGGGGTTTTAGTCCAAACCACGACTTTTTTGGATTGGTGGTCCTTTTGAGGTAGTTTCGTTGCGTTTTTGGTCCCTCGGTAAACTAAAATGATTTTAATACCCTTCTGATTTTTTTTATGTTTTTTCTATTTAATTTAAATAGAAAAGAAAATAAATAATTAAAGTGGACCCACATCTCTCTCTCTCTCTCTTTCTCTCTCTCTCTCTCTCTCTCTCTCTCTCTCTCTGAAACTAAAAAAACACACAAAGACACAATTAAACATCTCTTTCTCTACCCGTATTCATCATCATCATCATCGTTTACACACTGTGAATCAAATGGTGAGTTTACCATTTCTCCCTCGTCTATTGCAACCTGAAAATCGATGATTCACCCATGTGTCATTCATGCTTCATCAATCTCAGTGAACAAATCGAGGTAAAATAAAACCCTAAACCCTTAAATCCGATTTAAGAATTAATGATTCTAATCAAATTTACAATTGATGCTTAACTAATTATGGGGCATTGTTTATCGAAAGTTAGGTGATTTGTTAAAATCGTACCCATAGTTTGTGTTGTGGCGATTTGTTAAAATTTCCGACAATATGGATGGGGTTTTGTGGCTGACGCTTTTCAGGTAAGAGAGGAGAGATAGCGACTGGTACTCTCTGCTCCAATATTGTTCCCTTTCACAAATAGAGATCGAGCTACAGACTATCTCAACCCATATACGAAGATGATGATGCTGTTGTTGTTCCAAATCTAAAACGAGGGTTGGCAAGCTCAAACAAGAAGAACAACCGAAGAAAGAGGATGATAGATCTCGTGGTTGTTCGAGCTGGAGAAGGTCGATCACTGCTTTTTTGTCTTCGCTTTTCAGATCGACCATAGACGTCGTTGTCTTCAGTGGTTTTCAGATCTGGAGGTCACAACCTTTCTTTCCTGCATCTTCTTATTCTCTTTACAAACATAATGCATCTAATTTCTCTAAAGATCTCTCGTGCTCATCACATTTGTATGTGATCGACACCACATTGAATGTGTGTGTGTGTGTTGTTGCTTCTCAATCGAACAAACCCACATACATAAGGGTTTTTGTGCATCATTGATTAAAGCACACACACCTGTTGTTGTTCAAAGTCCATCTACAGGTGAAAGGAAATGGAGTGGAGTTGAATAAAGAGGCGGGCGATAACTCATTGGATTACTGCCTCCGAGATCGGTTGAATACAAAGAGCTGCAACCTTGAACTTTCACCAAGTTTCAAGTGAATCTACGAAAACTATGTTTGGGAGAAGACAATTAATTGAAACTTCAGATTTTAGTTATGGATTTGAAAGGAATGGAACGTTAACTGGTCGAGAGATCGAGAGATCGAGAGAGAGAGAGATCGAGAGAGAAAGAGAGAGAGGTGGGCCCTCTCTTTATTTATTAATTATTAAAATAGATAAATGTATATTAAATTAAAAAAAATGAAAGAAAAATGAAAAATAAATACATGAGGGCATTACAGTCATTTCAGTTTACCGAGGGACCAAAAACGCAACAAAACTACCTCAAAAGGACCACCAATCCAAAAAAGTCGTGGTTTGGACTAAAACCCCAAAAAATACATACCACATGACCATTTTTGCAATTTTGTCTAAAAAGTAATCCGAAACACCGCCGTAATCTAATTTTGCTATATTAATTGGCGGCCCTATCAAATATTGAAACGATGAAGTGGCGACGACGATTAAGAACCGGTAAAGAATTAGGGCTTTTTTTTGAGAAGATGAACAGCTTATGGAGTACAAAAGTTTCGACATGTAGAATGTAAGTATTTATTCCTTGATTTTTCGGCGAAATTGAATCCTGAATTATCTATGGTATCTCTCAAAAAAATCAATTTCCCGTTCCTGTATTTCATTTTTTGGTGAAATTACCGTTTTTTTTTTTTTTTTTAGTATAGGATAGAAATCAGTTCACATCAATTAAGTTATAATTAGGATATTGTGATTAATTTGGAAAATAAGAGGCTTCTATTATGTATTTAAGGGATTTGATATATGATTTTGGGTAAAAACCCGGTTATACATTTGGTAAATGGGTGTTTGTTTAATTTTGGCAATCATGTTCTGATAAACACAATTATTGATGATAAATAAAAAAAAAAAAAGATTGTAACAGTTAAGTATATAATTTTTTTTTTGTGGTGTGTTTAAAAGTCCAAATAGTTGATATAATGCCTTAATTTTCTTGTAGTAAAATGAGGTACTTACGCATAACCCCTTTGTTAAGGGTCATGTTTTTTAGGGCAAACGTATTTGGATGTGCCTAAATTTGTGTTTATCATATTGGAATTAGTTGGAGATTGAATTGAATTTTATAAAATTTAGTATGTTACTTGGAGATAAGCAACTTAGGTTTGGATTAAAAGATGATATTTCAGTTCGGCTATTAAGAGTGAAGTTGCTATTTCAAATGGTGAAACTCAACATAAAGGATGCATATTTTAACCTTGATGGTGAAATTAGGATTGACAGGATCAATATCTTTTATGAAAGTAATATTTGTAGCTGCCATGTGTGGAATATGTTACAAATTTGTATTAGACATAAAATACATTGATATAAGAAATAAAATTGAATGAAAGGGGAAAATTTTCTTTTACTTAAAAAGAAAACATTTTTTTTAGAATTTATAGCAATGTACTTTGAAAGTACATTGCTATAAGTTATAAAACTGTTTTTTTTAATAAATGACAGCAAAATTCAGAAATGGTTGTTGTTTTGTTAAAAGTAACAGAAATTACTTTTACTTTTAGGGTAAATAGTATAAAAAATCACAGAAATTTTATTTTATAAAAAATGGTCCCTGTTTTTTCAAAATTAAAAATTCGTCAAATGCCACTTAATGGTGAGTAAGTATTATGGTTTACAATTACGTAAAGGGTAAAATTATCCAAGTGGTAAATAAACATGTTCTTTACCTGAAATGACAGGTACTTTCAAAATGTGTTAGTCATTTTATATATATTATATGGTCTTTTTCTGAACCGACGCTTAAAGTTGCCCACTTATGGCATACAATGGCATAAAGGGTAAAATTGTCCAACATTAGAAATATGCATATATATATATATATATATATATATATATATATATATATACAATTTATAGCAATGTAATTTCAAAGTACATTGCTATAAGTTGTAAAGATGTTTTTCTTTTGTAAAGTTGTAAAGCTTTTTCTAAGTAACAAAAATTACAACAATGTACTTTCAAAGTACATTGCTATATTTGTAAAAACACATTTCATTTAAGACCAATATATGAAACATTTCATAAGTCATGTCAATTGCATAAATTGGTAAATAGGTGAAAATATATTTTACAGAAACGGTCCCTGTTTTTTAAAATTTACTGAAATTGTCCATATTAAAAGTAAATAGCTATGTACTTTAATACATATTACAAACACACACACATTGTTACTTTTCTTTTTCACAAATGGTCCTTATTTTTTGCTTAAGTAATAGAAATTACATAAATAGACCATGATAGGAAAGTACATTGACAAAAATCAAAATAATACACCACTCACCCCTGATGTGAAAATATGCAATATTTTGTTTGTTATTAAAGTACACTATCATCAGAATGTAATATACATAAAATGGCATGGTACTTTCAAAGTATGTTTCCATTTAATGTATATTACATGATCTTTTCTACATCCAAACGTAAAAGTAACAACTTATCAGAAATTGTACTTATTAAAGTACATTGTATTCTGTATTTATATATTTAAATTAACAATGATTATATAAACTTAAAAAACCAAGAATATACTACAAAAAGTTAAAAAGATAAACAACAATGTACATTATATTATGTATTTTTGTATTTATATTTTTAAGTTAACCATGATTATAAAAGCTTAAAAACCAACAGTATACAAAAAAATTAAGTAGATGACAGCAATGTACATATAAAGTTTTTATGTACCCAAACACATGTCATGAATATTAAAAAAAATAGTGAGACAATTTAACCTCTATGATTATTGATTCAGAAAAAAAGGAGGATGGAACTCAAAATTTTAATGAGAAATAGCAACGTAATTTAAAGTTTTTATGATTTCAACCTTGTTGTTATGTATATATATAAAACCAATCAACATATGGAACCAAATAAGAGTACCATATATGTTTATAATGCAAGGATAAAAGTAATCAACATAAAAAAACCAAATAGCAAGTACTAACCTGGTGTTTTTTTTTTTTGCTGTTTTTCTTAGTGATTTCGTGGTGATGGAAGGTGAATAAGCAAAGCAGAATCGCAAGATTACAATTAGGAGGAAGATTGTATAAAATTTTGACAGTGAATAGGCGTTTTAGAGGTATAAACAGAAAGCAGTGAAAATTTATTTATTATATATTAACCCGATCGATTGAAATGTGTGAATGCAGATGGCAGTTTGCAGAGATGCAGAAGAATTATCGATTGAAAGCTTTGAAAACGCCGATGAAGAAAATAATTTTAGGGGATCGATATTTATATGTATAATGACAAGGTAAACAAAAATAATCCAAATCAAAATTAAAATTTTCATAATCTGCGTGATTTAACTATCATTCCTATTATGTTGGAGGATTATTTGGTATAAGATAAAGTAATTGGAATATCAATAGCTGATTTTTAGGGATATCATATCTCTATTATTTTTGTATGTATAAAAATAACACGTAAATTCAATGATTTAAGTGCAGGTAAATTTGGAGTATTGAAATTGGTTTGCTGATTAGTAGGAACTGATAATTTCGAGATTTGAGGCAAGGAGTGGGCGGGAAAAGAAGGCATGTCATAGCTGTGGTAGTGACACGTGGAATGAAGGAGGTTTAAGAGGGGGACATGTGGGAGAGGTTTTTATTAAGATGAAGATCTAATCTTTTTATTTTAAAATTATTATAACAATCTTATATATTATCATTCATACAAAACAAGATATACTTATTTTTTATGATTATTTCCTTTACTTATTATTTTTGTTTTCTTCAATAGTCTTTTATATAAGATTTTTATTTTTTAAATTAGTTTTGGATCTTAAGAATTAAAGATAATAACAATTTTTTGCAAAATATATTACATCAAAATATTTTATATCATATTATTTTGCTTAATATTTTTGAATCATATAATTTTCGATCAATAACATATTTAATTAAATAAACATTTTGTTCGTAAAATCTTTTACATCATTATATATTTTGAATCATTTAATTTTGATCCATAAAAGATATAATTAAATATCATAAAATATACGAATCAAAATATTTTTAGATTATAATAAAATGATCATATTGAGATTGAATCATAACTTTTTTGAATCAAAAATATTTTGAATAATTTCATTTTGGATCATATTGTGTTCAACATTTAAAAAAAACAATATAATTTTTTGAAATAAAGTTTAACATGTAAACAACCTTATTTTTAAAAATTTAATTTCAAAAAGTTCATAATATATGATATATAATAAACCTTTAAAATGATTTTTAATTTAGAGAACGAAAATTTTTACTTTTTATTTTTTTTATAGAGTTATAATCATTTAAATAAAACGTTCATATCATAAACAATACTCCCTCCATCCCAAAATTATTGTCTACAGACAAAAAAACACACAGATTAAGGAAACATTAATTATCATTAACTTTATATGATAAAATGACAGTTTTGTCATTACTTTGTATTTAATGTTCTATTAAATTTTTAGTTGGTTAAGTAATAATGAAAGGTATTTTGGTAAAAATGTTATTTATTTTTAGAAGTGGACTATTATTTTGGGACAAACCAAAAAGGAAAAATATGGACTATAATTTTGGGACGGAGGGAATATTATTTTTGAATTTTTTTTACAAACTCACTAAAGTAGTATTACAAAGAACTTTATCATTTTTTTTTAATTTGCAAAAAAGAAATTCATTATATTTTATAAAAACAAATATTTCTTAAAAATAAAATATATACACTTTAAAAACTTATTTAAAAAAAAATCTTTTTACAAAGTCATTAGTCTAGTAAGTAGAAGTATTCTTCAATTTTTTATAATTTTTGAAAAATATTTTTATTTTTTGGATTTTTATAAAAATAAATTTTTTTTCAAATTGTTATAATTGTATTCATTTTGTAGAGAATAATATTTTAAGAACTTTAATTTTTTTAGATTTTTTATTCTAAAAAAAAAAGTTAAAAACAAAAAACCATTTTTGAAAAAAAAAAAAAACCCAGCTCTTTGAGGCCGACACGTGCCACACGGGAGAAATATGAGACGACTTGTGCGGACGAGGTTAACGATTATACCCTTTTCCATCTACATTTCTACCCTTACAACATACAAAAATGGTCCTTTGGCTTTTCTGATAGTTACAACAATAGCCCCTCGTTTCTTAAGACTTATTCAATTTTTGTAGATTAAATCTATACCATCCAATTAACTATTAGCGGTTAAGATTTGTACTCGCAATCCTTATTATTTTTTAAATCCTCACTCGATACTATATATATATATATATATATATATATATATATATATATATATATATATATAATAGAAATATTTGAGGCCCGTGCTAAGCACGGTCCACGAAAGGTAATTTGGGTTTTTTTTACAGTTGTGTAAAGTATATTGTGCTAATAACCAAAAAGGTAAAACTACAATGCAATAAATTGGTGAATTTTCATGAACTATGCATGAATAAGAAAAAGGAAATGAAAGTACATTGTTATAATCAACAAATACTGAAAGTTGATTGTTATTTCCTTATATGAGTTTTTCGCCTTATGGAAAGCCTATAAATGGCTATTGCGATTAATCATGAAATATCATCTTGATTTCTTTATTTGAGGCTTGAACCACTTATTCATTGGTTGCCCCTTGATCTTTATTGCTAATTTGCTATGTCCATTGTTTCTTGGTTCGACATAACCTAATAAATTAGATGAATTTGTGAGTTTAAAATCTTTTTCGGAAAGCGGTGATATTATGTAAAATGTATGAAGATATACTCAACATTATTTCCATGGCTACAAAAAATTACTATTTAGAGAAGTTGATTTCAAGCAATCTTGATGTCTTGTTTTTCATTCTAAATAAGGTTATTTATTCATAGTTAGAAATCCTACCAAAAGTTTGAAAATATATTTTAAAATGAAAATTCAGAACCCTCATTCTTTGTTTCATGGATCTTGCTTGAATGTAATCTACTAAAAAATGTAATGTAATCTAATTGGGGACCAAAAATGTAATCTACTCAAAAACTTAGTTGTCTGCAAAACCAATAATCATCTATTCCTATTATTATTATGACAAATGGGGTATATCAGTATATGCAAGAGGTCTTCTTTATAAAATTAATGTGATAAAGTTCTCCCATGTCTGCGCTAACTATCTGATTTGCAACAATAGATATAACCTGCTGAAACAATGAAATATACATATGTTTTTTTATTGTATTCCTATGTTATACTTGTTTGTAATAATAGAAATATGATTTTTTTTATGAATACCTTTTTCAAGATAAAGGGGGGAAATAACATGAAGAAATAGAATTTTTTATGAACATATAATTCTTATACGTAACAAAAATGTACTTGAAACTTCATGCTTGCGATTTTAAAATTTGTTTGTGAGAAAGAATTGAGTTGAATGAGCAAGTTATTACATTGCCTGATCATGTTCGGTTGAATATTGATAAAAAATTATAAAATAAAAAAATTGTCATTAATATGAATTAAAACCAGTTATATTGGAATTTATGGAAATGAATTAATAAAAAAATACCTCTTAGCTAAGTAATGAAAATTAACAAAAAAAAAAAATCACACTCTTTCAAAAATTGTCCATTCCATTTTAATTGAATAAAACAATCTCATTCCGTAGGAGGGAACCATTCCATTCATTCCTTGTCTATCATACAAACACCTTGGTTTTCGGAAATATTTCCCAAAAGAAGATAAACATATAGAGAAGAAATAATTCATTTATCTTAGTCACAACTTGTCTTTTCATTTTCGACCTAACATAGTGAATTGTGGCATTTAACGACATCAAGATGTTACATTGAAGAAGAAATTTGACATTATTGTGTTTGTTAGGTTCTTTATACACATGAATAGAAACTTAAGTCTATCCTCTTGAAATTTTAGGCAATTGCATTGCAAAGATCTTTGAAATCTGATGGATTAATCTGAGTTTAAAATATGAGAACGGAATAAGACAACCAACAGCCAACAGCCAACAAGAGGTTATAAACCGAAACCACCTTAAAATCGTAAGTGTAATTCAATGAATCAAATAGCAACTCAAAGTTTTCTCTTGATATTTTTGGCAATTCCATGAATAAACGGCTTTTTAGTGGTTGAAATAAAAATTGCAAACCACAAGTTTTAACTACACTAAAAAGCCGTTTATTCATGGAATTGCCAAAAATGTTCAGAAGGCCTGTGAATCATTCCAATATGTGGACCCATGACAAATCCATGAGAGTTTTCTCTAAAGTTTAAGAGTTGGGCTTTGCCAAATAGCAACTCAAAGTTATATTTATCATGAGTCCACATATTTTTAGCAATTCCATGAATAAACGGCTTTGCCAAATAGCAACTCAAAGTTTTCTCTTGATATTTTTGGTAAAGCCGTGGAAAGAAGTGATAAATAGAAGAATGCTCAAAAGGCCTGTGAATCATTCCAATAATTAAAATAAAAAAAGTTGTTGCCTCTATCTATTAAGTTCTTCAAACAATTTCATGCACTAGTCCTAATCGAGGAAGCCGGTGTACGGGGCTCAAAAACTTTTCCGATAAAATATTTGCACCTGTAAACAATTAAAATTTATCATGGTTAAAGAAGCAATAATGGCTTTAATTGCACATCAAAACATCCCTAAAAGATAAAAGAATGGGCATTTTCTACTTAGAAAATAAAATGAATTGAGAAATAAGAGATACCCACTTAAATCTTGAATTAAATATAACAAATGACTAAGATGATACACTTTGCTTGCTTGGCATTTACATCTGTAATTTTCCATTTAGTATCTAAACAAATTTTAATCTTTTTTTTTTTTACTTTATTCAATAGTTTTGACGGCAATCTCAGTAGCTATGAACAACAATCTTTAACATTTTCAGATTCTTATTAAAGCCCAACTCTTAAACTTTAAAGTTTGAGTTGGAATTTGGTCCATCAACATATTTACACCACTATGTGGACCCATGATAAATATAATAGATTCGGATTTGCGGTTTCTTGAGGCATATCTTCAATCCGAGTGTCCTAACTTTAAGCAAACAGACAATATGATTCTCCATGAACCAACTAATATGAGCATATCCATCAATCAGCGCATTCAACACTAAAAAATTTCTTTCAAACATTTCATCAAACAGGTTATAGGAATCCAACAAAAGCTCCTATATATGTCCAAATCAGAAAGTGACTAACTTCCACATTTGCAATCTTTAATGCTTCCCTTTTGCATATCATTTAATCAATTATCCATGAATTTTTCTTAACAACGATGCATTCATATTATTAATTGCCACATTTAAATGAATATAATGATAAAATGTAAATATTATTACACAAACTTCAAATCAAAGGTTTACCACTTTACCTTCTGCAACAAGATAGTTGTTCTTGAAATTAAGAAGCCCTAACGTTAGAAAAGATAAAAAAAGGAGATGATGATGCAGGTTCAATTAAGAACCTTGAAAAATTCTAATCAACCATGATGCTTGAAATAAAAAGCAATCCCACCTAATTTTCAATTTGAAGAACAATAGACCAGATGCTATGAAACCCCATTGTCGCAACACCTGAAAACCCTCGATGTAATCCAATAAAGATTCTTCATCTTCGGGCCTGAACTGCTCCGCTTTCGAGTATCTCCATTATGCCCTGGAAAAACAAAGCACATTGTCGATGATGATAGACGATGAGGTAGAGAGAAGGCGTATGGAAAACTGAAGAAACAAAGCACG